GCGGCTACAGAAGGCAGCTCACCTCTCTAAGGTCCTTCCCTCCCTGGTGTCTCATTGCTTCTGCAGATCTCCATCACCATGAAGAGATGACTTTTGAATTATATCCATGTTTCTAATTGTTCCAGAGGGGACTGCTGGTCTGCTGCTAGTTATCTCATCCCATCCAAAAGCAGAAGTCCTTTCAAAATGGCTTTGTCACTTTTTATAATATCCAGCTCTCAGCTGAGATTTTCAAACTTGTCTCTTTGTGAATATAAAAAGCACAATTTAAAATTTGTGTCAAATAATTCGAGATTCTGGAGTCATTGCTGTCTGACTCCATTGTCTTGCATCTGCTGTTTATTCTTATTGTCTCATGTCCTCAAATGCCTGGTTACCATCAATTATGTGCCAGGAATAGTATTTGAAAACAAAATTCTTTTGAGTAATATTTAGAAGTCTAAGATTATTTTATCTTCCTCAGAGAGGGATTTTGCTTTAGCCAGGTGCCAAGTGACATTAGTAATCAGAATCATTTTAATACAGCTCTGTAGACTAAAATGTCTTTGGTTACCCAGTTAACTTAGACATGGTGTTCAATCCCTGCAAGGGTTGGTTTACTGCTTATTCATTCTTATGCCTGAGGGATTTTTCTAACTGGATGTAGGGACTGAGATAAACCCTTTCCAGGGAAGGAAATAGTAAGATATAAAACCTAAACACTATCAGTAGTCATATTTCCTGCCACGAAGAAGAAACAATTCTCACTAGAAAATGAGGTTGACATGAAATCAGAAACAGATAATAGCAATAATCATAGCTACTACTTAAATGGTGCTTACCACATGCCTGTTTTAAGCACTACCTGTAGCAACTCATTTATTCTCATTCCAATCTTGAGACAAAGAGTGGGTTCTGCAGTTGTTTGAATTTCTATCTCCAGGTGTTCCTAGCTGCCAATATTCTATAGATATATTCATTAAATGTACTTTACAGTTAATTCGTATTTTTCAAGTTAATAATTAGAAGCCCCCCCAAAAAAACTATGGGTATTCACAGGATAGACATGAGAATTGCTCCTGCTATATGAGTTGAAGCAGGGGGAAAGGTGAAGGCTGCTACTGAGTCTCCACCATTTGTCAAAAGCCCGGCCTTACTTTACCTGACATAATCTTCAGTCTGGCCCATGGAACACACAGAGTCAAATTTGTGGCACACTCTTATGTTAGCTTTTTCACTACATTTCATGTTTTATTTTGGAACAAAGCAGGATGTAAAATAATTATTTAGTTATTTTCATTAATATTATTTCCATTAAGAAACTTACATTCAGATTACATGATTCATAGTTGTTATAGATGGCAAAACTGATATTTGACCCTAGATTGAGACAAAAAGGGTGCCATTTAATCATTATCACTTCCTTGGCTCCATGGTAGACTCCTCCAGAATGCTCCAATAGTTTACCAGACTTAGCAAAAAATAATAGTATAGATTACCCAGTTAAATTTGAATTTCAGGTAAATAAGTTAGTTTTTAGTGTAAGTATGCCCCAAATATTGCATGACAACCTTATTCCCATCGCCCATACTGAAGTGGTCACATTCATGCCAGGGGATGCCACCCTGGCCACACAGCTGCTTGCTCTCTTGCTCCCTATAACTAGCAGCAGGCACAGGAAGTGTGGTTCAGAGGGAACTTGAGCACTAGAGCTGTAAAATCTTGTCAAAGTGGGATCAGAGTCAGCACCATGGGGCACTGAGCCATATGCAACCAGAATTTGTGGGAGGTTAGAAAAGGCTGTTAGCAGAGAGGATACTGGAGCAGAAGTGCAGAGAGAACCCAAGGTAAGAAGCTGTGTGGTCACGGATAGCAAGGTGAAGAGGGCAGCTGCCTAGCAACTTCTCAGACCCCGTAAGGTACAGCTGTGTATGCTACTGGGGTCCAGATGATTCCCCTTTATCCACACTAACTTGAGAGAGTTCCTGTTCCGGTAACCGGAGTCCTAGCTAAACCTCCCCCCTACATTGTTGAGAATTCATGGCTGATGGCACGGGTTGTTTTCTGGCTAGGACAGAACAGCAGGACCCTCCACTGGCTCTGTAATGTTGTGCACTGAGTAGGCGCCATGTATATGTGGGTACCATGGTGTGCTCATCGGCTCCCTTCCTGCTCACCCTTCTCGGGACTTATTACCCAGGTGAGGCATACCTGCAGACCAGATTCTTCAGACAGACTCAAAGAGAACTAAGGGTCCATACAGTCAGGGAATTTGCTGGGATATGCCTAGAGGTAGACCCCACGAAGTCGTCTATCAACCCTCCTCTATTGGTCCAATCACATCACACACACACACACGGTGTATACTTGCACATGCATACATACACATGTACACACAATGAGCACCCACATATGTACACACCCACACACGTACATGTGTTTTTGTTTGTTTTTGTCTTCATGTTTTCTGCTTGCCAAGAGCTTGTGCTTCTTACTACTATGGTTTTTATATACTACTTGTTCCCTTCCCTAAACTTTATTACCCTTTATTTCTCTCACAGTCCTCCCTTGACTACTCATTTAAAAATAGTAAGACCCATTTTCTTCCTAACACTATGGTTCCACTCTCTGTTTATCTCCTTGTCTTGGTTCAAAAGCATTATTTTTACAGAGCTGTAATTGAAAATTAACTTTATGTATTTATTCATTCCCAAATTACTAATTATTCATCTTCAGTATAACATTAATATAATTAGGTTCTAGGTTCTAGGTTAAGGTATCAGAATTTATGATTTCCTTATTGAACATTTAAGTTGTTTCCAATTTTTCCCTATTTACACATAATGGTGCTGATGCACCTTGGGTATATGGGGTCTTTCTCTTCTGATGAATTGTGGTATGTTCTTAAGTTCACAAGAGCAGAATTACTGATGTAAAGGAATAAATAATGTTTAGGATCTTTGATATGGAGTTGGCATAACGCAAGCAAATGTATTAAAGTGTGACTGATATGAAATATCTTAAAAGAGTGGTAAGTCAATTCATGGATGCAGCATCCGTGAACTGCTTATTCTGCACTGACTCTGTAGGAAGTTCAGGTTATGGTTTTGAATATGTCCTTCCACTTTTAACCAACTTCTCTTAAATCATAGGGGTATATAATATCAACTTCCAAGGCTAAAATCACATGACAATTAACCATAAAGACTGATTAAATATTATTATGAGATTACGCTGGTGCCATTTTCAGCTTATGACATGCGTCAATGTCATTTAACCTTATAAAAGACAAATTTATTTTAAAAGGCAGTACAAGCAAAATAATTATGTTTTATTGAAAATTTAGAAGTTACAGTACTTTAAGACAGATTTTTTCATATTGTGAAGAAAAATAAATTAAGGGAAAAAGGACTGACTGAAGTGCAATGATATTAAGTTTTCAAACTAACAAAAATCATTTTAAAAAACCATAAAAATCCACAGCTTAATTTATTCAAGGTATAACATGTATTTGCCTATTTATTATAAAAAAAAGCTACTGGAATAATTTTTACAGTGATCTTTCAACACATAATCTTTCTGGACTCCATTTAAATGGTCAGTAGTAGTGGTATCTAATTCACATAGATTACTGGTATGTGCACATTAGAAATAGCTAATTTTAATACAAAATTTTAAGAATGAGAGTGATTTATCATTTCATTTGTCATATGGCAGTAAATGCCATTTCTAGTCATTTCTTAAGCATTTTTCTATCTCCCAGGTAAAAACCAACCGTTTTCAAAAAGGTGTTTAGCCTGGTGTGCCCTAATGTATAAACAAGATTGATCATTATACTGCCAAAGTATACATACTATTATAGTCAGCCTTCTAAGATGTTACACTGTTACACCTTTTAGACCAAAGCTGCTCAAATTTTCTTACGAAGGGGAAGCTATTTGAACCAAAAAGATCAAAATAGAAAACTCCTTTTACCTTATCAATGGTCTATATATTTTTACTAAATTATTTTATGCCTCAACGGGAAATTCAATGAGCCACCAGTATTATTTAAATAACTTTATTAAATAATTTCCATTATTTCTATTCTAAATCTTCTCCCTTTTAAATAAGGGAGAACTGAGGCCAAGGCCTAATGAGGGCATATACCATCAGTGAACAAATATACTATTCAGATGCTGTACTGACTGACATCTACAGTGAGGACATGAAGCTTACCACAGGTAGGTGATAGTAAGTCCTGTGCTTGTCACAGCTGGAGAGGGCACTATACAGAACTTTAATATTTCAATTAATGTATTTATAGTACTTTGCAGTTAAGATAGCTTTTCTGTAACTATTATGAAAGTATTGAATGAAATTAGACCCTGTTAGGAAACTTACAACATGCACATTGCATAAATGCTTATGTAAGCATTTTGCTTCCATTTTATGCCTAGGCAAGAGGCAGAAATGATTTTAATAAAGGAGTATCTGGTGAGGATAGAATTAAAACACAATGTACATTTGCTAATACAGTACATTTTTTTCATTTGGTAACATCACACAAACTGGTCTTTAAACAAGAAAAATCCCTAGTTCTTATTTAATTGTGGAGAAATCTGGCCCTATGGGGTAAAGAAAATCCTCTGATAAAAAAATGACTGAAAACCAGTGTTTTTGACAGTTTGACTCTGAAACTGATGAAACCTTTTTAGATGTTACGGAATAATGATAATGGACTTAGAACAGAGGTCATCAGAGGTAAGTAAAGCTTTCTTTTCTCTCACCCACCTCAGTAGCAGAAAAGGCTCACAGGCAGCTGATTAGCTTTCAGAGAAGAGGGTGCTGTGCTGGCAGATGAAACGCTGATGTCATTTTAGCCATAATGTAATGGACCAAAGACAGCAAATACAAAATCTGACAGGTATAATCCCTCTCATCTTCACAGTCCCCAAATAAAATCAACAGCGGGTCTTTCTCCAAAAATCTTTAGAAAATGTTATGACTAAAACTAAATTTTCAAATGAAAAATACTGCCCTTTTTTTTTGGCAAATAAAATACATTGAAAGCCCAAAAGAGTTCATTTATACTTTACATCTAAATAGTGTGTCCTATTAAGAATTAAAACTACCCTCTTCCTTTGTAGCTCCTCTTCTTTTCTGCATTATAACTTTTCCCATGTACTTAAGGTATTGATAATTTAGTGAACTAAGTATTGGATATCAATTTAGCATTCATTGCCATAAAGAACCCTGGTTGGTAATGTACTCAACATTTGTTCATGATGAATTCAAAATTTATTTTTTGCTATGATCAACTATTTAAAATTTCATGAATTTGATGAATTCACAAAGAAAATACATCAAAGTATAAAAATAAAATTCCACACAAGAAATATTATTTGAAGACAGCTGACAAAAATCTAATAGTGTTTTCTATTAATGTTTTCCAGTCATTTCATACCAAGCTATACATTAGAAACACCCACCTAATTTATTCTTGGATTTAAGATTATGTAACTTTAGTTTCCATGATGATTCCTTCTTCTATAATTTCTTTCACATTCTCTCAATGTAACTACAGGCTCCACAAAAAGGATTTGATAGAGAAGAATCACAAACAGTTACTGGTGATTCCTAATACAAATGTTTAAAAAAAGTTTTGATTCTTGTGAGTTTGTACAAAAATAAATCTTCTGATATTCCTTTAGGATTGTACTTGATGTAAAGTAAAAAATACTTGAACTAAATGAACACTTACATATAAAAATACAGAATACATATATCACAGTGATCTTGATGTATCTTATAATATTAGAAATTAGAGTACCACCAGCCTGATTTAAAACTTGAACATTTTAAAGTATGAATTTTTAAAAAAATCAGGACTCTCAATGTTTTAAACTTAACAATTTTCATCTTCCATGTCAACTGAGATTGTCTGTTTTGGTTAATAATGGGGCTTGAAGAATATGGAGTAATAGAAGGTATTTTTCTGGAAGAAACCTACAGTGTCTAAATATTTAGTAGATAATTTATTATTGTCTTGGTTTTTCCTAAGCATGAATCTTTTTTATTTATTCTGCCCATTCAGATCAATAAAAGGTTGTAAGAAGGAAAGCCACAGGGCTGGAAAGAGTGCAAAAATCCTGTATTTTGTCAGACCTATTTTCTGCCATTAAGAAAGGTGGTGCCTACAAAACCTAAAAAGAGAAAAAACAATAAGGAGCGTTCACAAATAGGCTAACTGTAGGCTAACTCACAAATAGTATTTTCCACCAGCCAGCCCTTAAACCAGCAAATGGTTTCTATTCTGCTTAAAAAAAATTGCTGCTTTTCTTGTTGAGATATAAAGTCTGTAATGCAGGCTTTTCAGAGTTCTCTGATTTTCTGCTCAGGTCACATATACTGTTCAAAGATCACCCACTTTCAAAGTATTAAAATATAATTAAGTAGACTCAACACTAAAATTAAACTAAACATAATTTATTCTTTTACCTGGATATAATGTGAAAAATAAAAAATCCTGGACTGGGTGGGAGTCAAAATGTCAGTTTTCTCTTGATCTCAAGGCTAAGTGGTCTTGACCAAGTTAGTTAACCTTTCTGGGCATCAATTTATCTTAGGTTAAAAAAACAAGCAAATGGTATTGATTGGATAACTCTTAAAGTCGCTTTCAAATTTGAATGAAACACTGAATCAGAATCTTGTACAGTATCTTATAATTTATATTATGAAGATCAACTACCATTACAGAACAGTGTAAAAATAATTCTGGTTTTAGTGATTTCTGATGTTTATATTATCATTAGTAAAAGTTTACTGTACTTTCAGGGGCTAATCATAAATATATGGCTCTGTAATAAATACACAATTGAGATATTTTTACATTATGCACAAAGTATATGTTGACATTCACTGGAATGGTCTGGAAATTTTTGTTACCTCTTCTTCTTTAATTTTCTTATTTTTGAAACCCTGTTCTCTACTCAACTGAATGGCAAAGAGTAGCATGGGAATAAAAGAGAGAATGTTAGTTAAATTATTTCTGATGGAATGAAGAATAGTGATCTTTTTATTTTAATTTTTTTTACATTGTAGCTTTTGTTTTAATTTTTTCAATTTTCAAAACTAAATTTTTAAAAATTATTGCTAAAAACCAAGAATCTTCTGAAGTTTACTACTACTGGTAAAGAATTACAATTTACTGTCAAATATCAATATTGTGCCAAAAGAAAAAAGAATTTGGTTCTATTTTTAAGTACATGGCAATGTATTCTCCTAGTGCTTATTTAAATCATTTTCAGAACTGAGACAAAAGCAGAAGACTCACGATTCTGCTTCTATTTCAAACCAGATGTAAAGCATGTTGAATTCAAATTTAGAGAGGGACTTTCTGGAGTTCCAACTACAACTTTGGGAGTAGGATAAATAATTTCTTCAACAGTTACATATGTACCTAACAAGAAACCAACAACTCCAGTGAATGCTATAGAAATATTTTTCAGGATCATCCATATATTGTAGTGATCCTTAGAAAATGTAAGAATTTCAACCAAAGGTGGTAGGATCAGGGCCAATGTACTGCTACTCACAGCTCCAACAAAGGAAATCACAATGTCTAAACGAGGAATCAGAATTGCTCCAGCACCTAGAAAATAAAAATAAGCATTTTTATTTAAGTACTTAATATTTATATGAAAAGGAAATGTGGATGTTTTAACTAATTCTATCAAGTAGGCACTACCAAACTATTGCTTGTGAAAGAATCTGTCATATTTTGTTCTGAGCTAAAAAAGAAAACAAAGGAACCAAAACGGTGAGTGACATTTCTTGGACTTTGACTTGTCAACAAAGTTTCTTACATAAGCAACTTTAAATTTTTTGCTGTGAAATTCTGAGTGAAGGAGTTTGGATAGCCTATTTCCAAAGCATTTTCATTACTCTGTCATATAGCTCATTCTACAGTGGGGTGGTGGGATATAAATAAATCATTAAAGAAATGAGAGAGAAAAGAAAACTTTTTCTTACACTCATTAGTATTCCAATTGACCAAAATAGAAGGGATAATGGAAATAGAAAATCATTATTAAGCAAACACAACAGTAATAATTATTGCAGGAAAAATCACTAAAGGATATTAAACTTAGCAGGAAAAAACTATATAAGAACAAGATATTTGCATAGTCTCCAAATATCTCCTCCAAGACACTTATTAATTATAAAGGGAATAAGAGTACCTTTACAGCGGAGAAATTTGTCAGACACCACCATAATCAAGTGACTAAAGCTAACACTGCCAGTGATAAGACAGTACCATGACGTGATGCACTGAGAAGCATTTTAAAAACGCTTCATTTCAATCTAATCATAAGAAAGCATCATGAGCTAGAGGGAATTTGACAAAATTACTGACAAAATTCAACAAAATTACAGAAATACAAATACAAGAACTGCCAAGACTGAAGGAGACTAAGTAAACCTGACAACAAAATTAAAGTGTGTCCTTGGATTGGTTCTTGGGTCAGCAAAAGGGTATTAGTGGGAAAACTGGCAAAACTAGAATAAGGTCAATAGATTAGTCAGTAGTGTTGTATCACTGTTAGTTTCCTAGTTTTAATCATTGTATTGTGATATGTAAAGTGTTAACAGTAAAGGAAGCTGAGTAAGGGATTTATGGTAACTCTACTTCCTTTTACAACTTTTCTAAATTATTTCAGAATGAAACGGTAACAAAAAAAAGTACCACTATTACCAACAGGATTTTCTTCTAAACCACTGACTTGTTTTCTGCAAGTTTTGATCTGGTACTCTCTTATTTTATCTTTATCTTACCAAAAGATATCAACACAGGAAGGTTTACAAAATTTGTTGTTAGTTTGGAGTGGCCACCAGAAATAACAACAGAGTTGGCCCATGTGCAAGCTGTGACTAATTCTCCATCGCCACCAGTGATGGTCACATCACTGGAGCTCTGGCTTTGAGGACTCCAGTTGTGTGTGTTGGCCCTCCTGTTTGTCTTCTAAAGCTATCATTTTCCTCTCTAATCTTTATTATCCCTCTCTTTCATTTCTAAGTTTATGTCTTTTTGCTGTTCTCATTTGTACAGTCTTTGTCTCTTGCTGAACTTTCTGCGGTGTGTGTCTATATATATAAACTATATATATGTAAAATATGTATGTATAAAATCTATATTATATATGATTTAACTTGTGCTCTTTGTAATTAAGTCTTTAGTTTCTAATGATTTCTCTACTTAATTTTTACTTTACAGTTCTTCTACCTTCTCTTATTCCCTTTGCAGCTCTCAGTGTCTTTCAGGAGGATGTGGGATTAACTTGGAACCACCACATTTCTCAGAACAACAAGCTATTATTTTTCATTTAAATTACATGAAAGCTAAAACCCTAAAAATTATTTTGATATTATAAACCTAGCCTCACACCTACTGGACTAGAGTGAAATAAACTTTCATAAATAAAATAGCTGATTTTGAAGAATTTGGAACTAGAAATGTTTTATAAAGTGGATTCCCTATTTAATGGATGCTTGCTACATCTCTTTAATATTTCTCTCAAGGGAACTAGAAAGCATAAATCTCCAACAGTATTAGGACCTTTCAAAATTCACTGAATACATTCATTACATACTTCACCTCCATACAGTAGGTGGCAGTATAAAAGGAAGGCCAGACAAACCTGACTAACACCTTCCCACATGAAGAGTTTTTCATTTGGGGATCCATTTTTCCTCATTAATGTTTCTCAACAATCCAAGCTGTCACTTGTAAATCAGGTGAAAAAATGTTGAAAAATCATGTGATGGTACACTATAGAATTTTAGAATTCATTCATTTAGCCTAAAATTCCATTTATCAAATACTTTTAAACCATGAAATTTGTCAATTAGATAAAGACATCCTATAAATATTATGTAAGCAACCAATAAACATTTGCTGGTAAAAATGGCTTGAAATGTTATTTGGTAATATTATTAATAGACAAGGAAGAGAAGTTTACATATCTTAGGCAAATCCAACATGAACTCAAAATACAAAACCAGTAAGCCAAAGCATAGTTTGGAATATAGTCTATTCACTACAAATATTCACTATAGGATTACTATAAATATGTTGCTTTATGTTGTTTACAGTTATTATAAATAGGTCTATTAAATACTAATTAGCTTATTTAGCATTTGCCAAAACTGTATTATAGAGAAAAAGAGTATATCCTTAGAGTACAAATCTTCCTCTGATATAGAAAAAAAAGCCTATTTTAAGTCCATTCTTTCCATCTGAAGGGTGAAAGTAGATATATCAGAGAAAATAAATAAAGTACTTGATGCTGTAACATCAACAATGAAACTGTGGGCAATACTCCAGCACATAATTTTAATTATACAAATAGTTAATGGTGCTCTCCACATACCTACTGACTCTAGGACAGAATATTAGGATACAGAATGGTACTGTTTCTCATTTGCAGTGGCAATTAACTTTAAGGATTTTAGTGTGTCTTCTCTAGCATTCTACAAACTATTGAAGATTATGCTTTTGGTACTTATGCAGTAATAGTGTACTAAGAACAGGAAACATACATAAAGCCAAGGACTTTTCAAATTAGAAACAGAAGGATCAGTGAAATCAGGCAATAACAAAATACATAGTATTTAACACATTTTGCTGAGTCATTTCAAACATGGAATCAAAACACAGGCCTGAGAGTTTTAAAATAACTATACCCTACTGAATGTTCCACTAGTCATCAGAGTAGGGCTTTAATGACTTCATTCTTCAATATGATCTCCCTTATTAGTTGATATAATTCATTTATATGATTACTTTGAAAAATAGGTTTTATCTGCTTTTCCCAGCTTTGCTTTCTCTTCAAACAAAATGTAATACACTCAATTCTTTAAATCTAGGCATAAGCTCCATCTATGGCACTCAATGCAATTTACAGAACTGCCCAGAATTTCTAGCTCTACTATCATCTAACCCTGAATGGGCCAAGATAGACAGTAGTCTCGCACACAGAACTTCTAAAGCACGTGTTCCCCAGAACACCAGTGATCTGGTCCCTGGTACATTCCAGGCAATCCCATTAATTAGTTCAGTGTTGCAGTCATCCATGTATTTGTGGTTATGATAATAATGGTGACAATAAGGATAGTAATACCTTCCAGCTACTTGGGTAATATTTTCAGACCTGACAAAAAAATGCCACAAAGAAGTCTTACCTCCCTTTCATAGTTGAGGAAAGAGGGGCTCAAAGATGGCACGTAACTTGCCTAAAGACAACAACCGAGTAAGTGGCAGACCTGGGTTTGTGACCCCAAAGCTCACACTCTCTCCACTGTACCAAACTCAAGCTCCCTCAACACAAGTCTCTATTGTTATGCTGTCTTGTGGAGGCATTTTATGTAAAGCCTTAATCAGAGAGTACATGCACCCCTTCAAATAAGTAAAATAAAACCACTGAAATTATTAAAGACCCAAACAAAACAAAAGCCATTCCTGTAGGTGACACAGAGTCGAACTGTTAAATATACACAAGTTAGCGGACATAAAAAACCTGAGAGAGACTAGAACCAAACTAACCCTTTATATCTAAAGGGTCCCTTACACATCTGATTTAAAAATACTTATATTTTAATCACCACTCATGTTATTTTCAAAATAAAAATTTGTTTCAGTTCCTTTAAAAGTGTGATGGGATCTCGTTTGTGTTTTTATTATATAGTAAAATAATTGTAAACCAAATAATATCCCAGCTAGGTAAGTAAAACTGTTTAAAAAATACTTAAAAATATACTTTAAGTAGCTTCATTAGAAGAAATTCAACAATAAAAATTATGTTAGAAATATGTAGTGATACTTACAAGTAACACTAACCAAGAAGGACCTTATCACGAATTCACAGATTTGCTTCCATTTAGCATGAACTTTGGATGTGATCACAGGGATAATGATCTCTGCTGGAACATAGAACTGAATTGAATATGTCACAAAGATGCCAAAGGAATACAGAATTTTCACTGATTGATATAACCTGTTGAAAAAATTTCAAAATTTTGTCATTCCTTTTTCCCACAGATTTAATGAGGCATAACTGACAAATAAAATTGTAATATATTTAGTTAATTAATTATTATTTGTGCTTTGAAAGAGGTAATTTACTTTTACTAAAATAAAAATTGTAATGTATTTAAGGTGTACAATATGATGATTTTCTGTAGGACTCCTACAATCAAGTTAATTAACACATATATCATCCCATGTACTTGCCTTTTTTTGTGTGTGTGTGAGAACACTTTGCATCTACTCTCAGCAAATTTCAATTACATGCTATAGTGCTATAAACTATAGTCACCCCATTATACATTAGATCCTCAGACTGTATTCATTTTCTAACTGAATGGTTACACCTTTTTACAAAATTCTCCCCCATCCAACAGCCCCTGGCAACCACCAGTCTACTCTCTTATGTTACAGCTTTGCTTTCTCTTCAAACAAAATGTAATACACTCAATTCTTTAAATCTAGGCATAAGCTCCATCTATGGCACTCAATGCAATTTACAGAACTGCCCAGAATTTCTAGCTCTACTATCATCTAACCCTGAATGGGCCAAGACAGACAGTAGTCTCGCACACAGAACTTCTAAAGCACGTGTTCCCCAGAACACCAGTGATCTGGTCCCTGGTACATTCCAGGCAATCCCATTAATTAGTTCAGTGTTGCAGTCATCCATGTATTTGTGGTTATGATAATAATGGTGACAATAAGGATAGTAATACCTTCCAGCTACTTGGGTAATATTTTCAGACCTGACAAAAAAATGCCACAAAGAAGTCTTACCTCCCTTTCATAGTTGAGGAAAGAGGGGCTCAAAGATGGCACGTAACTTGCCTAAAGACAACAACCGAGTAAGTGGCAGACCTGGGTTTGTGACCCCAAAGCTCACACTCTCTCCACTGTACCAAACTCAAGCTCCCTCAACACAAGTCTCTATTGTTATGCTGTCTTGTGGAGGCATTTTATGTAAAGCCTTAATCAGAGAGTACATGCACCCCTTCAAATAAGTAAAATAAAACCACTGAAATTATTAAAGACCCAAACAAAACAAAAGCCATTCCTGTAGGTGACACAGAGTCGAACTGTTAAATATACACAAGTTAGCGGACATAAAAAACCTGAGAGAGACTAGAACCAAACTAACCCTTTATATCTAAAGGGTCCCTTACACATCTGATTTAAAAATACTTATATTTTAATCACCACTCATGTTATTTTCAAAATAAAAATTTGTTTCAGTTCCTTTAAAAGTGTGATGGGATCTCGTTTGTGTTTTTATTATATAGTAAAATAATTGTAAACCAAATAATATCCCAGCTAGGTAAGTAAAACTGTTTAAAAAATACTTAAAAATATACTTTAAGTAGCTTCATTAGAAGAAATTCAACAATAAAAATTATGTTAGAAATATGTAGTGATACTTACAAGTAACACTAACCAAGAAGGACCTTATCACGAATTCACAGATTTGCTTCCATTTAGCATGAACTTTGGATGTGATCACAGGGATAATGATCTCTGCTGGAACATAGAACTGAATTGAATATGTCACAAAGATGCCAAAGGAATACAGAATTTTCACTGATTGATATAACCTGTTGAAAAAATTTCAAAATTTTGTCATTCCTTTTTCCCACAGATTTAATGAGGCATAACTGACAAATAAAATTGTAATATATTTAGTTAATTAATTATTATTTGTGCTTTGAAAGAGGTAATTTACTTTTACTAAAATAAAAATTGTAATGTATTTAAGGTGTACAATATGATGATTTTCTGTAGGACTCCTACAATCAAGTTAATTAACACATATATCATCCCATGTACTTGCCTTTTTTTGTGTGTGTGTGAGAACACTTTGCATCTACTCTCAGCAAATTTCAATTACATGCTATAGTGCTATAAACTATAGTCACCCCATTATACATTAGATCCTCAGACTGTATTCATTTTCTAACTGAATGGTTACACCTTTTTACAAAATTCTCCCCCATCCAACAGCCCCTGGCAACCACCAGTCTACTCTCTTATGTTTGACATTTTTTTTTAGATTCCACACGTTAAGTGAAGCCATGCGGTATTTGTTTTTCTCTGTCTGGCTTATTTCACATGGCATAAAGACTTACAGGTTTATCCATGTTTCTTAATATAAATCTGGCTTTCTTCCTTTTTATTTTTAGTGTTAAGATAGACAAGAAACCCAATACACACTAGGCCAATAACTTACCAATTAAATGCTTGTTTATTAAAATAGCCAGATGATCTCTACTAAATTTCTAGATGATAAATGGACAATTCATTTTGACAAACCTATTGTTGGAAAGGGTTCATATTAAGCTAAGCCAGTGTTCTGAAGGTTAGGCTTAGCCCCATGAAGAGCTAATGTTTCCTCAACTTTCTTTCAAAAAATTGAACATTCTATGTGTCTTTGATATCTCAACGACCTATCCATAGAAGAAAAACTTCATAATGGACTCTGAGTTATAGTTCTCCTTGCTTGAAAATGTTGGTAGGTATGTCATTAGTTGCAGAAATGTCATCATTCTTAAGTCCTAAGGGGGGCATCAAAATGGTTTCAACCTGCAAAGTTCTCTAGATTATACAGGGATATGCCTATATAATTCTCTTACCTATTTAGAGTTATATTGCTAAGAGAAATAAATTGTTGGACTGGGTGGTTGTTGTTTTGTCCAAGTAAATTTATCTTTTTGAGGCCCAGTGCTTTAAAATAGCACAGCAATCTTCAGTTTTATGAATATCTTGAGATTTCTACATTATAGAGAGCTTCCTGTCAAAGCTCAACATATGTGCCTTGACAAAGACTTCAGTAAACTTCCTTTTGTGTGGCAAAAGACCTTTTAAATATTGATAATGACAGAGAGAGAAAATGTAGACTTGTAGGACCGAGAGGGACACTATAGGTACTCCCTTGGGGTACAGATAATGAAATTATATGTAACATACGTATTTTCTGAAAACTTGAATATTTTACAACAATGAAAAGAAAATCTCAATCACTCTTGTATTATTTAAGAAACAAACTGGAGAGGAGCTTATGGATCAAATGTGCCTCAGCATCAGCGGTAGTGATTAACACCTATATTCTGTTTCAGTAGAAACCTCACTGAGAGCCACAATCTTTCCACTGAGCAGTTCTACTTGTCAGTTTTGGTAAAGAAAGCCTTCACAGTAATGAGACTTTAAGCTTATTTATGATGTTTTGAGACATAAAGTAGTAGAGATTATAAACAGTTCTCCAAACTGTGGCCAAATTAGAAAGAATTCAGTAAGTCTCTTCCTATAAAGTATTCATCATAGGAGTGAGAACAAGGAAGGAAAAAAGCTGAGTAGAAATAGATGTGAAAATAGTACAAACAGAATAATTAAAGAAAGAGGGAACTCCTTAGGGTTAGCAATAGCAAAATTTTAATTTTAGAACAATTTCAGAATTTATTTCCCAGCGGAGGCTTACAGTTTAAACATAAATGGTCAAGCTACCGAAATGTACAAAATAACTGAAAGACTCCTGCTTCATATATTCTGATATGTAATTGTGTAGAATTAAGTGAATGTTCTTATTAGCTTATTATTAGAACATTTTTACTAATTATCTTTTAACTTACATGTTTTAAAAATATGGTTAGCAATATATTTAAGAACACATCATTATGAATATAATTACATATTTCCTGATTTAAAATAAGTTATGTAAGCTAAGCATCTGGTTATTATTAATATAAAAATATCAGTATACACAATTACTATTATTTGGTGTTACCCACAGTAAAAATGGGAAATAAAATGGTTGGGTCTTTTATGAACTGGAATACTTGCTAATTATCAACCAAAGAGGAGTCATATAGATAAGAGCATTTAAGAAAAGTGCTGCAGTCTTTTAGAATCAACTCTTCCACTTTTACTTCTTTTCTACATCAAGGGCACACTGTATTTGACATCTGTATTTTTAAGCAATATATAGTAACATATGTCAAAAACTGAGACCATTTGTGTGAAAGAGCCTACCTAAATAAAGTAATATGAAAAATTCTTCAAATCAACCCAGATGAAAAGGAACATCATTTTATGGTCTATGTTATTGTTACTAGAATGACTTTATTTGTATAGATTTTTGAAGTCCAGAATTCCAGAGGTTCATTATTTACCCTTGCGTATTTTCCTTGTAACTGCCCTGCACCTATGCTTTTCCCTCAGCGTACACATTCCCCGCTAGAGGGCAGCAGTGTGCTGGGGCTTCCTAGGCCAGAGGTTAAGCCTGGTGGATCTTCCGGAAGCACCAATTTTACTCAAGGGTTTTTGTGAGGGGAAGTCATTTTTATATAAAAAGCAACATAAAAATTATAAACTAGAATGCAATAGGTGTACTCTTTAATGACTTTTTAAATTGACTTATGCTTGAGTCCCAAGACTCCTAAGGGAATGCTTTTTTTCACACTCTCCTCTGCTGTTTGGGTTACAATAGTGGAAATCTTAGAAAAACACTGCTAAAATATCACTCAACTAGAACTAATAGTGGTGCCTTGGTTATATTATTAGGTACTAAGGGAAATGTTTTTAAACCTGTAATACCATTTAACAAACATTTACTGAGTGCCTCTTAGGTGCTGAGCAATGTGCTAGACTGTGGAGATTCATCATAAATCTAGAAGATGCAGGGTTCCTGCCATCAAGGAACCCTGGTTCTAGCTCAGAATTATGAATTTACTTCATCATCATCTTTAAAATATACTCCTTACTTCAAAAGCTAAATGCAATACACTGAACAATATTAGTCAAAGCTAGTTTTAAAAGATAGATTGAGGGTAATAAATAATAGCTTCAAGCCTCTCTAATACATACTTGTTTTTATCCAGCAGCTGCTTTCTAATTCAGTCTTTTCTTGGGGAAATATACCTTGTGAACTCTGACTTTAAGTCAATATGGGATCAAAAATCCTTTACAGCTTCTCATAGTTAGTAGCTATCAGTTCCCTGGGCCCTTGTGACAGTCACTAGCTTACATACTTAGCTATTAATAAAGAGTACACTGCACTTTCTCTAACTTTCGTGGCCTATTGTCTGACACACAGAGAGAGAAGGGAAGAGACTCACACATTAATGTAACAGGGAGGAAACTGTAGGTTATAATCCTGTGATTACTCCAGTCCTAACTTCTCATTTTACAGAAGACCATCACTATACGAAGATAAGCATCTCCTCTCCATTACCCCGCAGCTGTGGCTATTGTTTTAATTGTCCCAGCTCAGAGTCCAAAAAGAAGTAGACTGCGGGCTACAAAAGGCTTATCTCCACAATGAAAAAGAAGTACACAACAGAGGTTCTCTGATGGAGAATATTTATCTTGACTTGCTTCCCTGTTTTCCCAGATGTTTGTTTCTTAGGATACCTGTACAAGGCTTTTCTCCAGGCAGGAATCCAGCTAAGCCTTCTTAAAAAGAAACTATGATCGAATAGTCCCTTTTTAATCAAGACTTACAACTAGTTCTATTCTAACTGGAAAGCCAAAGTAATTGAGGGCTAAGGAGAGAGGTGGGAAAGGGATGCAGAGAAAGGGAAGGCTTCAATTAGAGCTACTGCAGAGATGGTATCACCCCCTCAAGATGAATAAAAGCTTTCTCCACTCACTCTTGTCACTGTTACTTCACCAGGATCTTAGCTCTCTGGGGATGCGAACATCTTAACCTGATATGCATGCATACTCCCACTTCAGTCCCTTCTCCCTTAAGGTTTTCTTTAAATACTTTGGTGAATAAGAATAGGGAATGATTTGGCAATTGTTTCTTCCCACATTTTATAAATTTGACATTAAAAGTGCTTGTCAAATTTATTTACAAAATCATTTTTAATATTTAGTGTAAATATTATTCTAAGTGGGGAAAATACCATTCTATTTTCCAGGCATTGTATAGTATTTGAAAAGAGGAACTATACTACCATAATTTTTAGCCTTTATCCTCCTATTAGTCTCCTTAGGCTTCCAGTACATAGTACAAAAAGGAAAAAAAAAACTTTTTTAAACTATTACAAAAAAGAACAAAGAGGTACATTTAAAGTATATAATCAACTGTAACATGTATCTTGCCTGTAATCCTGCCTCCAGCTTGAAATATATGTATAATGTTCAAAACCTTTCCATCTTGGAATACATTCATAAACTACATCATAACTAAAGTAAATCTACAAAAAAAAAAAGGTAAATACACTGCATGTGTGCTCCTTGTGCAACTGGAAACTATTCTAGGTACATTCCCTCCACCATAAATGGCTTCCTACATACATTTGTTCCAACAATGTTTTTGACTCCAATAAAGACCCAGAATACAAATCATTACTGAATGGGAGACAAATTCTCACCAGGATGCAGTTAGAAGATAAAATATTTAACATTTAAGGTTTCATAGGCCTCTTTTCAAGCCACCAAAGCATGACATTAATTAAACCAGCAATATAGCATTTATTCTTTGCATTTATCAAAACTAAGAGTTATCTTCTATTTTACAAATATGCAAGTCTGTGTGGCAATCACTGCCAGTATCTTTTTAAATCTCCAAAGACCAATCTGTGGAAGAAGGGAAAACCCTATATATTTCTTCACTTAGCAGAATATGGTTCTAATATTAAGGAGAATACTAAGGTGTACCATATTATTTTATTTTATTTGTAATGTGTCCTGTGTTCTTAAGGGACTTGGAGTACATGCAGTATTAAAACTGATCAGTTAAGATATTGAGGGCCATAGGTGAGGGGTTATATTATTTTATCAGGAACCCAAAGTGTTGGATTTTTTTGGCAAAAAGGGCATTAAATTTTTTAATTAAAGTGAATCCACATTAAAAGGATACATTTTTTACTCATACTTTACTCAAATCTGGAACATCCTACAATTTTTAATCTTTCGAAAAAAATTCCACAAAGATCTGTAAAATAATCATAGATGTTCTTCTCTTCAGATTATGAAAAAAATTCCAGCTTACACAAATAAAGAAATCACAATAAAAATTTTAAATGTTTAAACCATAAATCCACGGATACACCTTTATCATCAAATATTGGTAAGCTTTATCTACACAATACATAAATGAGGATTAACAAACTCATATCTACTTACCATACATCCTGTGGAAGATTTAAAGTTATACTGCCTTTGATTTCATCACGGAAACACATATATCCTAAAGTAGCTAATGTTACATACAAAGTTGTAACAATTCCCATTCCAATATTCAATGCTTGGGGGAAACGTTTTGATTCTTTCATTTGATTTTCCAATGGAAGGACCTAAGAAGAGAATGCAAGTAATATGAGTAATTTAAACAATCTTGTATCCTGTCTTACATATACACAAATTAATCTTTCTACAGTAACATGCAAATCGTTTTTCCTTTAAAAACATGATTGTTGACGTGTTTTTTCTTAGGTGTCATATGTATTTTTTACATTACAGATTTTTTAACTCTGAGAAATGTTTCAAATCAGCTTGTAGCAGACAAATTTGTCAGTTTTTTAAAAACAAGTTTTTATTCTGGAATAATTTTAGATGTATAGAAAAGTTGCAAAGATAAACAGACCACTGCATTATACATCTCCCCTCCCCGCACTCCCCTCCCCTGGCATTGGTACATTACTATTAAACTCCAAACTTTAATTTCACTAGATTCTCCACTAATATCCTTCTTCTGTTCCAGGGTCCCACATCCAGGATACCACACCGCATTTTGTTGCCATGTCTCCTTAGTCTCCTCCGGTCTCTGAGAGTTTCTCAGTCTTCCCTTATTGTTCATTATCTGAATTTTGAGGTACATTGGTTAGGTATTTGGTATAATGATTTCTGTCTGTAGTTGTTTGATGTTTTCCTCATGACTAGGCTGAGATTACAGGTTTTAGAAAAGGATACTACAGAAGTGATATGTGAAGTTCCCACCACACATGCTATTAACATAATTTATCACTGGTAAAGTTAACTTCGTTCACTTGGTAGAGGCATGTCTGCCAGGTTTCTCTGCTTTAAAGTTCTCTTCTTCCCCCTCACTGTACTCTAGTCACTGGAAGCAAGTCCCTAATTCCAGGGACCACGGGAGATTTAGTTACGCCTGCTGGAGGGTGAGTGCCTACATAAATTATTTGGATATCCCCCTTTGTGTACTTATTTATTTAATCATTTAGTTATGTTAGTATGGAATCCTGTATATTTGTTTTACACTTTGGAGTATGAATCCGAAATTCTGCTATTTAGTTACTGATATTGTTTTAGCTTAGCTCATAATAAATTCTATCAGGTTGGTTCCTGTGTTTCTTTGACAGGACTCCATTCTTTTGCTTTTTTTGAGCACTTCCATATTTTCTGGAACAAGATGCTCCAGACTCAGTTTGAATTTCCTTTCTTCAGCCCTAGAATCAGCCACTTCTCCTAAGAACTTTGGTTCTTTTATACTGAAGAATGGTATTTAGAAATCAAGATCTGGGAGCTGAGTGTGCTCGTTGCTACTAGGGTATCACTGCTTATAAGGCCTCTCAGCAGACAGTGCTAGGAAATTATGCATACTAACCCATGTATACATATGTCTATAATTGATTCTACATCTACCCATCTGTGTCTATTATCTACTAACTTAGTTAGATGAATAAATTATCTTCATTATGTAAAAAAAAAACCTTTAAAGATAAGGAAAAAAAGGCTAGTTGAAAAGTTAAAATTTTAAGGCAAATCTTTAGAGGTCAAATCTCTTAGCCATATGATTTGAGAACACAGTAAATGATATTAAGTAATATTAATAACAAGTATTTTCTAAATGCTTACAATATGCCGAGTATTTTTCCTTCTTTTTTAAACTGAGGTAAAATTGGCATATAACATTATATTAACTTCAGGTTTACAGGATATTTTGATATTTATGTACCCTGCAAAGTGATCACCACATTAAGTCCAGTTACCATCCATAACTGTACAAAGTTACAACTGTTTTTTTCTTTCGATAACTTTTAATATTTACTCTCTTGGCAGCTTTCAAATATGCAATACAATATTATTGACTATAGTCCATGCTGTACATCTCCATGACTTATTTATATCTGGAAGCTTGCAACTCTTCACCCCCTTCACCCATTCCACCTGCCCACCCTGCTCTGCCCACCAACCTCTTTCTACTCTGGCAACCATCTACCTGTTCTCTGTATCTAAGATTTCTGTTTTATCTGCTTTACAGATTCCAGATATAAGTGAATCATGGCATTTGACTTTCTCTGACTTATTTCATTTAGCATAATACATTATTATCAAGGTCCACTCATGTTGTCACAAAAGACAAGATTTCCTTCTTTCCTATGGCTGAGTAGTAGTCCATTTTGTATATATATCACATTTTCTTTATCCAGTCATCCATCAATGAACACTTAAGTTGTTTCCATATCTTGCCTGTTGTAAAGAATGCTGCAATGAACATGGGGGTGCATGTATCTTTTTGAGTTTGTTTTTCTGTTTCCTTTTGATAAATACCAGAAGTGGAGTAGCTATATCATATGGTAGTTCTATTTTTAATTTTTTGAGGAACCTCCATATTGTTTGCCATAGTAGCTGCACCAATTTACATTTCCACTAACAGTGCATGAGGGCTTCCTTTTTTTCTGTATCCTTGCCAACACTTGTTTTGTCTTGTCTCTTTTATAATAGCCATTCAAACAGGCATGAGGTGGTATCTCACTGTGGTTTTGAGTTGCATTTCCCTGATAATTAGTGATGTTGGCCATCTATATGTCATCTCTAAGAAAACGCCTATTTAAGAGCCAGTGTCCATTTTTAATCAGATGTTTTCTTTGCTACTGAGTTATTTGAGTTATTTATATATTTTGAAAATAACCCCTTATCAGGTATATGATTTATAAATATTTTCTCCCATCCAGTAGCTTGCCTTTTCATTTTGTTGATGGTCTCCTTTGCTGTACAGAAGCTTTTTAGTTTGATGTCATCTAACTTGTTTATTTTTGCTTTTGGAGTCAGATCCAAGAATTCAATGCCAAGAGTATGTCAAGGAGCTCACTGCCTATGTGATGTTTTGGTTTCAGGCTTTACATTCAAGCTTTAATTCATTTTGAGTTAATTTTTGTGTATGGTGTAAGATAGTGGTCTGGTTTCATTCTTTTGCATGTGACTGTCCAGTTTCCCCAACACTATTTACTGAAAAGACCATACTTTCCCCATTGTATATTCTTGCCTTGTCACATACTAATTGACCATATACTCTTGGACTTATTTCTGGGCTCTCTAGTGTTTTGTTGATCTCTGTGTCTGTTTTTATGCCAAATACCAAACTGTTCTGTAGTTTGTACAGCTTTGTAGTATAGCTTGAAATGAGTGTGTGACATCTCCAGATTTGTTCTTCTTTCGTACTGTTGCTTTGGTTACTTGATTTTTATTGCTCCATACAAATTTTAGGACTGTTCTGTATCTGTACGAATGCCATTGGAATTCTGGTAAGGATTACACTGAATCTGTATATTGCTTTGGGTAATATGAACATTCTAAGAATATTTATTTTTCTAATCCATGAACATGGGGTATCTTTCCATCTATGTGTGTGGTTTTCAATTCATCAGTGTTTTAGTTTTTAGAATACAGGTCTCCCACCTCCTTGGTTAAATTTATTCGTAGGTATTTTACCCTTTATGATGCAATTATAAATGGGATTGTTTTCTTAATTTCTCTTTCTGATAGTCCATTGCTAGTTTATAGGAACACAATCAGTTTTTGTATACTTGCTTTGTACTCTGCAACTTTATTGAATTCATTTGTTAGTTCTAACAGTTTTTGGTGAAGTCTTTAAGATTATCTATATATATAATCATGTCTCTGCAAGTAATGACAGTTTTACTTCTTCATTTCCAATTTGGTTGCCTTTTATTTATTTTTTTTGCCTAATTGCTCTGGGTAGGATTTCTAATACTATGTGAAATAAAAGTGGTGAGCATGGGCATCTTTGTCTTGTTCCTAATCTTAGAGTTTAGAGCTTATTCCTGACCTGTCAACTTTTCACATTGCCTACAATATTAGCTGTGGACCTGTCATATATGGCCTTTATTATGTGTTGAGGTACATTAGCTCTATACCCATTTTGTTGGGCGTTTTTATCACAAATGGATGTTAAATTTTGTCAAATGCTTTTTCTGCATCTATTGAGATGATCCTATGACTTTTATCCTTCATTTTGTTAGTGTAGTGTATCATGTTGACTGGTTTGTGCATACTGAATCATCCTTGCATCTCTGGAATAAGTCCCACTTGATCATGGTATATGATCCTTTTAGTGTAATGGTGAGTTCAGTTTGCTAATATTTTATTGAAGATTTCTGCATCTATGTTCATCAAGGATACATCTGTCTGAATATAAACTGGGCTTGGTAGAATAGATGGAATAGAGATAAACAAAATTGGTCCTGAGTTAATGATTTTTGAAGTTGGTAATGCTAACATATGGTTATATGTTCACATATGTTGTGGTTAATAATTCATTACACTATTCTCTAAATTTTGCTTAGGTTTGAAATTTTCCATAATAAAATGTTAAATTTTTCTTTTCTACTGTCCTCAATTTACAGATTAAGGAAAAAAGAATTAAGCAATGCATCTAAGACTGAACTATAATTCAAGTTTATCATACCAAACTTCAAACTATGTCCTAGGAATAAAAAAAATAAGAAAAACATGCATTTTAAAGGTAACCTGACTACATAAATCTTTGTGTTGACTTAAGATTTTAAAACATAATAAAACATAAATCCTTACCACTCCTATGCCTTCAAAAGCAAATACAGCTGTACCAAAAAAGAGTGGGTATTTTTTCCAGCCAGCTACTATTGGAAGATTGTGGGGATCTGGCATATTCTGGAGAAAAAAGGGAAAAAATAAGTTACATTTTACTTACTTTAAATAATTTAAAATGAAAGAGCAAAATCATTCACTTCTGAGCTTTACAACATGAAGCAAATGTGTTATAAAAGTGAATAATTCTTTCAATAAATACTTTAAGCATCCTATGTTAAATGTAGCCAAGCTGTTAGGATTTCACTGCCAAAAGCAAGTGTTTTCCTCATGCCCACAAATTCTGTCCAAGCTAAATGCTTCTGATTACCTGTTTCAACCTGTAAGTCCCAGGCTGTTCACACTGGTGGGGCTCCTGCCACAGGAAATACACAAGTATACTCAACATCTGAGCTAAGAACCATATAATCAGTGATTAACCAGTGATAATGGTGTCCAACAAAATTCATTCTCCACTGTTTTCATTGCTCTTTTAGTCTCTAAGATACCTGGTTTCTGACTTCGGCTATCTTACAACTCTGTGTAGGTATTGGCTCTCTGGTACTCCTATGACCCCCTCCTGATTCAGTGCTTTACTCTTTGAACTGACACTTGCCATTATCTTTATTATTTGTGCCTATGCCTTGACTCTGGCTTTAATTATGGTCCTGACTCTGGCTTTGTGTGTTCCAGCTCTCACTATCTGGTAACAAACAAACTGCACATCTGGCCCAAGGTCTCTGGCTCCACAATGTCTATTTCTTTTAGCTACCCCAAATCTAGTCCCTACTCTCTTCACCATCCTGCGTTATCTGTTTTACCTGATTGGAAGTAGAATTCAAGGCCAAGGAAAGGGGATGAACAAATAAACTGAAGTGTAAAAGCACATGGCTAATTTGGGGAGTAAAAGGTCTAGAACATCTGAAGCACAGGTAGATTTGTGTGATATAATGGTGATGTATGACTAAAAATACAAACTAGGGTCAGAATGAAAAGGTTGTTAAAGTGTTTGGCTCTTTTGACAACACTAAATTGTTATTCAAGGCTCACACTGTTCACTCTACCCAAGGAACCTCCTCTTCTGCTACACTAACTCTTACATGTTCAGATAAGGGGTCATGAACTCCAGAAAGCCTATGCAATCCTCTTCCTGCCTGTCCCCTTTTATTCTCATATACTAAAAGAAAGAATCTATAGATTTTGGAATTCAGAAAGAGGAAAATGAAACATAGACCCATCATAAGACAGTGTGTAATGAACTGCTAATAGAGACTTTAGAACAATTACTTAGGCAGCAATATATAAGATGGATTGGATCAGGAAAGAAAAGAACAGGGATTCTTGATCTTTTTTGAGTCACTGACCCCTTTGCAGGATGAAAGCTATATATAGCTGCTCAGTAAAAAAATGCATATATACATACATAAACACTCAATCTTGAAAACATTTTTAAAGGATTTGTAGATCCTTTGAATGCCATCAATAACTTCTTCTATGGGTTAAATGGGTTAAGAATCCCCAGTCAGTGGACAACGAAATCAGTTGCCGTTACTGCAAATTCAGATAAAGAGGCTACAGACTAGTGTAGTGGAAGTAGCCTGAAGTGCCGGCAGCAAATAAAGGTTCAAATGTGAAAGAGAATTATAAAATTACACCTATACTCCTATCTCTTATGACTGGCTCAAATCTTAAAGGGATAAACAAAACACTGAGTTCTTTGTTTCATGCTAGACAGTGTATTAAGGCATACTTCTAAATCTCATAGCAATTCTAATAAGGTGGTTACTAGTATCTTCTGAAGCAATGTTACAAACCCATAAGCATATTACCAAGGTTCTAAACCAGATCTGACTGCAAAGCCTATGCGTTCAATCTCTGTCACACACTTGCCTAACTAAGCAGTCTCCCTCAAAAGGAAACCAAACTCTACTGATTATGTCCTGTGTGTCACATATGAAGTAGGGGTCTTTAGATATCATTACTTTCACCTTCAAAGTAAACAAAAAATTTATTTACCAAGAAACACATGACAGTTAAAAACATGTTATACTTACCCTAACAACATATTGATAAATAATCACAAGACTGACAGCCATGGAAAGGTTGGCAAGGAACGAAAGCACAAACAGATTCTTCAGCTCACGAATGAAGACCAAGAGAATTATAAACGGAAGAAAGCAAAGCATATATATTCTTAGGTCAATACTTCTTCTCTCACATGGATTTGATGAATTGGTACTATTCAAAACAAACACTTTACTCTCCAGGAATCCTTCATGAACCTATACAGGATCACCAGAAGAACAAGGAAGAGGGAGGGGGGAATCTTCCATCAACTCATAATCATAAAAGAGACATATAAAGAAAACTAGGTTCTATATACTCTATGATAAATTCCTTTAAAATATATAAAATATTTATAATTTTTCAAGATACTCCAGCTTCCAAGAAATATATGTATCAAATTTAAGAATAATTAAACTAGGATAATCTTTGCAAGATAAAATTCTTTTATCACACTGGGAAAGAAGGTTCACTATGATATATGATGCATTTACTAATTCATTTTGGAGCTTGGTGACTACGATGCTCATGACCTCTGTAAACACTTAATTTGCTTTTGGGAATAATCAAAGTGGAAGCATACTTGCCTAGAATGACTACTGGATATTCTACTCCAGTTTATTTTCTTCAGGACAGTAAACAAGCTCTTAAGTACCTCTTAGAAATATACAGTAGTCAAATAACATTTAGAAATCACAGCCTAACTTTAAAACTGTTTTAAAAGGAAATTGTTTATAAATTATCATCACTATTAATAAATATTTATTAAAAATTCACTAAATTCATGCATGGCTATATGCTAGACAGTAGATAAAATTTTTGCTAGAGCAAAGCACTTCTACAAGTTAGATCAACTTTCCCTTAAAATCTATTCAGCCACTTCTATAAACCAATATTCAGTTTCAAAAGAGGTACAATGATTTATAGGCCCCATTTATTTAAAAATGGCTATGATTCAATTAATCATATAAACTAACTTATGAAAATAGAAATGAAATTACAGATAAAAGATTTTAAAACAATCTTAAAAACAGCGGAGGCAGATCATACTATAATCTAAATAGTAGTGAAAATCCAAACATAATACCCTCCTTTGAACACAATGACTTATCAAGACTCTGGATACCCACCTACATTTTTAAGAACCAGAACCTATAGTGATAATAGTGAACATTTTCTGAATACTTTCTATGTGTCAGGTACTGAACTAAATACTTTATATACAACATCTCATTTAATCGTCAAACAAGTGTGTGAGGTGGGTGACAGTATTAATTTCAACTTATAGTTGAGGAAACAGGTTTAGGGAGCATAAAACTTACATAATATGAAGCCATTAAGTGGTACTTCTGGGATTCAAGTCCAGGCCTAAGACTCTGGAGTCTTGCTTTTGTCAGCAATATATTAACCTGACCAAAATACTGCAATACTGCAAGGGGGGCCCTGCCCAGAGCCATCTGGCCTCCATTTTGACATCTCTCCTCAAATAAAGTAAGTATTAAGAGGCTAACAAGTCAGAAGTTTAAAACAAAAATCTGATATGATTAACAATGCAAGTGTTTAATTTAATTTCACTCTTACAGTTCATAATATGCAATATTTAGTGTCACTACAAAGGTGCTCATCATCTTAAACCATAGGGAACATATCTACTAGTTTTAAGTAATACAGACAATTTATAACTCTTCTGAACTAACAAACTCTCAGGTTGCACCAAGCACCCTTTAAGAAGTGCACAGATCACATTTATCTTGTAATTGGCCATCAAAACTTTGTATATTATTTTCTATAATTTGAAATAGAAGCAAAATTGGTCATTTACATTACTTGGCCTTTAAGAACATATTTTGTTTGTTAATTCAATTTTCTCAGTAACCAAATGAGTTATAGCCAAATATCTCTATATCAAAGAAGTACCTCAAATAATTAGATTAGATAATGATTACAATTAAACTCTAACAAGGATAGCTGCAAGGGAAAAGCAGTTACATAACCTATTTTAAAAAGGGCTGTTTGAATTGTTAGGTGCTTGGGACTATGAAATTAATTCTACCACAAAACTTTCATAATAATTTGGTATTCCTTGGCAGAAAAAGTTATAAAAATTATCAGGATTAAAAAATAAAATAAAAATGTAAATACATACCCAGAGCAAGATTCAGGTAAACATTAGAGTCCTTTGGTGCCCTCTAGAGACAGAGATTGGCTATCTAATAGGACTTCCTATGATCTCACATGTTTACCAAAATGCAAAACACTGAAATAAATATTATAAAATAAAATTACTAAATTCAGTTGTTTCCAATTAGTGCCAAAATTTACTAAATCCACTATTTATTAACTTTTCAATGATTCAGTAATTTAATGGCTGAAATTCTGAAGGCAGGTTATGTTCTTCATCAAAGCTAAAAATGCAGAAGTAAAGCTATAAAATCCTACATTAATACACTGCTTTACATTTTACAAAGGCTTCCACATCCTTTTGTCAGCTCGGTCTCACAAGAAGTTTAGGAGTCACAAGGAGAGATTTTGTTGCTACTCCCATTTTACAATAAGGAAACTGAGGCCTGACCAGGGATAAGGGCGTGTCGGCCAATATGCGAGTTAAAATGCACAGCACAGGGATTTGAATTCAGATCTTCTGACTCTAAAGTCCATGGTCTTTGGTTTCACTACATATTTTTTCTCTTAATGTAATATTCCTTCCCTACTCTTCATCCTCATATACACTATTTTATCTGTCTGAACTTTATTCTAGAGTATCTTTGAGTAACAATAGAGAAGGGCTAATATAACCACAATCACCGGAAGCACTATGGTTCTCTTCCCCCTGTCACCTGTCCATAGTGACTTAATGGGACCAAGAACAGCCATGTGGCAGCTACAGAGCAGCAGTTCCCATCACACATCTACATGGGAACTAAACCCTTAAGTTGTTGATTTGATGAAATGTTGCACCTTCAATTTCATACTGTAACAGTAGCAGCAACAGTAAGGTGTTATCAACTAGTGTGTCTATTATTGGAGACTGCTATCAAAATGCAAGGTGCACCTCTGTACAGAGACTGCAATCTCTGGTGATGCTTTTCAGTGACCATCTGTCTGCCCTGTTGAGGGGATGTGTTCATTGTTACTTTCAATTTTTATCAAGTGCAACTGAATGTTTTTTTTCCATGTTACTACTTATGCCTCAAAAGGACTTTCATCTTTCCTTCTACAGCAGGCAGTCCCCTTACCTCCCAGAGAGTTACTTTTTCTATGTGGTCTTCTTAAGATATGTACCAATGAGTTATATTCTTCCACTTAACTTTGGAATCAACTGATAATATTTCATAGGAGACAGTCACCAGTACTAAGGTCACAGGCATTTATTTTATGTACTTTATATGTCATACATACCAACGCACCCTACACACTATGTTATACATACACACACAACCAAAATCATACAATATCCTGTCAAATGTCCTGCCAGTGGTGATGATAATACACTGGGTGGCAGCTGTGTCAGACACCTAGATTTCAGCCTAATTCACATGACTTAGGGCACATTATCCATGCTTTGGAGACTCACTTTACTCTTCATAAAATGCATATAGTATTCACATTACAGAGTAGTTAATAAAGATTGTGATATGCCACAGCTTATAAATAAGATTATAAGGCATTATTATTAGCATTATTCATAAATTCAAATTGAGCTTGTAGGTAGGTAGCTCTCTAAGAGGTAGTAGAGAAGATACAGTACTGCTATGTTGCACAATCCTAGAATGGTATGATTTCCATCATAGTCTATATAACTGACTGGTACAATGGTATGTCTTATCAGTTATTGTCAATAAATAGCCTCTAAATTGAGTTAGTAGTCCTAAGAATAAGCAACTTGTGGAATTAAATACTTGTAAAATCAAGAGCACTTCATGTACAAGTAATGCTAATGAAGAGCATCAACTCCTTATTCATAAAAGAGAGATCGATCCAATGAGCCTTTCCAACATTAAAAACCTAAGCTGGTGACTTTAGTAAACTGTGGCCCACAGACCAAATCCAGCCTGCCACCTACTTCTGCAAAGAAGATTTTATTGGAATACAGCCACATCTATTTGTTTCTATATTGTCATCTATGGCTAAGTTGAGACAGAGACCACTGAGCTGAAAAACTGAAAATACTTGTTATCTGGACCTTTTCAATAAAGTTTGCCAATTCTTGGTCTAAACAGAAAATGAAGCATACTTTATACTTAGAAAAGTGAGTTAAATATATCCATCCATACACAGGTTTTTCAGAAAGAGTATTGCATTAAAATACCTGCAATGCAAGTACTATATATTACTAAACATAATGCTTACTATTGCACCATGCACATGTGGATAATTAATAACATTAATGATTAAAATAATGATTAAAAAAGAACAGCAGGTAATGTACGAATAATAAAGGCAAACTACTAGTAAAAACACATAAAGAAATGTGCTTCATTTTTGTTTTGGTAGGGGAGCTTTTTTTATTTCAGTGCTTTGCATGTTTGTTCAAATTGGCAGCCAGTCTCTACAAAGACTGCAAATCACTACCTACACTAAAGCAAATCTTTGTAATAGGAAGAGAATCAGGGAACGATGTACACTTCTGAACATAGTATCTTCGTAGACAATGGCAATAATTACTGGATTTTTGTAATGCCCACTTTTTTACTTCATTTTTTAGTTGCTGGCTAAAGTTTTATCATTGTGAAGAGTATGCTCCCACATCTCCTGTGTATGTGTTTTAGATCTAAATTTCAAGTAGCTAAGAATCAGTCAGTTATGCCCTGTTCTGATCTGAAAGAACAGGCATTACTGAAATAATGGCAAGAAAAGCAAAATCAATTATAACAGTAAAAATCCAACTCATAAAAAAAGAAAACTGAAGGAAAATCTGCAAAGGAACATGACTTATGAAAGGAACACATTTTCATATTCAACCATGGCTTATTTAGAGGACATGTGATGCTATAATGATGGCACTGGAAGAAAATGATTTCAGTAAGAGAACAAAAATACTTACTTGTTTCACATTTTCAGCTAAGAAAACAATATAAACACTACAGAATCCCAGCTGTGTTATCACCAGAAAAAAGTCAACCACATTTCTGAAAGAGATATCCACAAATAAATAAGAGCATCTTAAATGTTAATATAATTTTCCTCTCATTAATTATTTTAAAACATTTTATAGTAGCATGCAGTCTTTTTACTTCTTTAAAATAAGAAATAAACTTAAAATATTTATTTTCTACAAAAATCATACATTTATGGTCGGTATCTAACTAGAATTATTATTGAACAAAAAGTTGTTGCATTAAGTTAAAAAACTAAAATTTTCTTAACATTTATTCCTGTTTTAAGAGTATCTGCTTATACATCAGAACAAAAAGGCATCCTACAGTATGGGAGAATATATTTGTAAATGACATATCCGACAAGGGGTCAACATCCAAAATATATAAAGAACTCATACGTCTCAACAACTAAAAAGCAAATAACCGGATTACAAAATGGGCGGAGGATCTGAAGAGACAATTCTCCAAAGAAGAAATTCAGATGGCCAACAGACACATGAAAAGATGCTCCACATCACTAATCATCAGGGAAATGCAAATTAAAAGCACAATGAGATATCACCTCACACCAGTTAGAATGGCCAACACAGAAAAGACTAAGAACAACAAATGCTGCTGAGGATGCAGAGAAAGGGGAACCCTCCTACACTGCTGGTGGGAATCTAAGCTAGTTCAACCATTGTGGAAAGCAATATGGAGGTTCCTTAAAAAACTAAAAATAGAAACACCATTTGACCCGGGAATCCCACTCCTAGGAATTTACCCAAAGATTGTCAGATTCAAAAAGACATATACACCTCTATGTTTACCACAGCACTATTTACAATAGCCAAGATACGGAAGCAACTTAAGTGTCCATCAGTAGATGAATGTATAAAGAAGATGTGGTACATATACACAATGGAATACTATTCAGTCATTAGAAAGAAACAAATCCTACCATTTGCAACAACATGGATGGAGCTAGAGGGTATTATGCTCAGTGAAATAAGCCAGGCAGAGAAAGACAAGTACCAAATGATTTCAGTCATTTGAGGAGTATAACAACAAAGCAAAACTGAAGGAACAAAACAGCAACAGACTCACAGACTCCAAGAAGGGACTAGTGGTTATCAAAGGGGAGGGGTGTGGGAGGGTTGGTAGGGAGGGAGGGAG